TTATTTTATTTTATTTTATTTTTTTTTTTTGTCAAAGCTGCCGAGAGATGATAATGTTTTGTGGAAAAAGTAAAGTGATAGAGAGAAAACCAGTCCCATTCCTCACACCTGCTGGCTGCTTGGCCTCTTTCTCATCACAGATGCACACGGGGTTATCACAGAATGAGCGAACATTCCAAGGAGGACCCAGATTAGTTCCTCAAAAATGGGCAGTTAAAGCCTCAGTTAGTGGGTCTCCTCCGGGACTCTACTCGGCCAAGATTTTCGAACTCACACCTCAGAACGTTGACATGGTTCTTGAGGATGTTCGGCCTTACCTCATCTCCGATGGTGGCAACGTCGACGTCGTCTCTGTCGCAGACGGTGTCATCTCTCTCAAACTCCAAGGAGCATGTGGAAGCTGCCCTAGCTCAACAACTACCATGAAAATGGGGATTGAACGAGTACTGAAGGAAAAATTTGGAGATGCAGTCAAGGATATTCGCCAAGTGTATGATGATGACCACACAAGTGAGACAACGGTAGAGGCGGTGAATGGCCATCTTGATATATTGAGACCAGCCATAAAGAACTATGGTGGGAATGTGCAAGTATTATCTGTTGAGGGTGGCCTGCCAAGAGAGTCTTCAGTTGAAGAGCATGATGATAGCAAACAGATGCCAGATGGTGATGGCTTCCCAACTTGCCGGCGCAGATCTGGATTTGTCTAAGGCACAAAAATGTGAAAAGAAAGAAGCAGGGTGGTGATGCTGTAAAAGAAAGAATCTGTGAAGAGGGCATTGATCTAGGTAACACACAACACACTTCCAATTTCAAAGGTGAGAGTGATGGTCCATGGCAGCAAGAAATGTGACAGCGGAGTTAAGGTATGTGTAGAGGTCCGGCGGGCGGCCAAGGTGACCCCCCCACCCGCCGGTGAAGTAGAATGATTAGGTTCTTAACCTTGCTTTGATACCATGTAAAATATATTGATGGATATTATTTATTGATGTATTACAAGATTGATAAATTACAATTCCTATACAATCTATATATAGAAGAAAATGTGGTAGTAGGTGTAGTGGACGTGATAGTGGGTTAGGTGAAGTGGAGTGTGTGGTGAAGTGGAGGTAGGTTTAGCATCAAAACAAAGCCATCACGGTTTCGGAAATTCTCAATCCATATTATTCTATTGTTGTTTATATACACGTAACAATTTGTAATTGCTTGTAGTCAATCGTGTATCCCACAAATACACCACCATTAAACTTAACCCATCACATATCAATCTCAAAATATGAACCACCCAAATGGGATGCAAAATACACTCTAAAATTGAGCAAAATTGAGACTCCCAACATAGACTATATCAATATATCTATTTAATCATATATGCCCATAAAATCATCTATTGATATATTAACACTAAAATCATAGATAGGAATACAATAAAATAAATCTTACCTAAGTGATGAATAAAGCAAAACCACCACTCTTATGAATCCTCCCTCTTCCTTGGTTTGGGTTTCTTTTCTTTAATTTTAAACTTTTCCAAACCCTTGCTTGCTACTTTCACCTTCAACTCTTCCAAACCCTTTCTGCAGCACAAGCCTCTCTTCTCTTTTTCTTTTCTTTTTTTCTTTTACCTTCTCAAACCCTAGCCGCCTATGGCGCAATTTATAGCCTCTGTTTTGTTTGTTTTCCAAGACTTAAAGCCACAATAGGTGAGCTTATTAACCTAATTTCTCAAAGTTACAAAATTACCCATCTAAGTAATAGGAAATATAATGTCATCTCATAACTAATTCTTTGATATTAATAAATGACTCATATAAGTTAATTTAATTACTAATGTATCCAATAAAATAATAATATTTAAAACTTGGGTTTTACAAGTCAAAGATCCAGCACCACTCAGGTTGGGTTCAATTTTGTGAATTGTTTTCTTCTGCTGGCTTCCAATGCTGCTGACGGACTCATTGCCCTGCTTGTCCAATTTTACCAGCCCTGTGTCCCAATAAAAACGACTAGATTGATTTGGTTGTTGATGCTGAAGACTAGCAATATCCTTTTTAGGATTCCGAGTAGTCTCATGAGAATGTTCCTCAGTAGACTTCACCTGTTTTACAGATCTTTGCTGGCAAGCCCTGCAACGTCTTTTCCTATTCTGAGGTTCCATGGCAGAAGAGCTGAACTTTGACCACTCTGAAACACTCGCCTGAGTTGTTGGTGTAATAATTGTCCGTTTATCTTCTCGTGTAGTGATTGGATTGCAATTGGGAGCTTTAGCAGAGCTTTGACCAACTCCATGAGAAATTATTGATACATCTGGTGAAACAGGTGGCCTTAGCATTGGCATGCCTTTTAGTTTCTCCAATTGAATAGCAGGCAGTAAATTGTATAAACCCAACTGAGCTTCCATGAACTGTGACACCACAGACACACCAAATGCTAAATCAGACAAAACATCATAATAAGACAATTTAATTAATATTCATAAAACCAAGCTGAAATTAAATTAAACCATAGAAATTGAACTGCATCAAATTACTGTAGAAAGCTCACTGCAGGCATTCTGAACTCCCTTGACCAATCCTATTCAGTGAAAAAATCCATCTTTTATCTAAAACTAAAGAGAAACACATTAGGGAAACCTAGAGAAGGCAATCTACCTTTGAGTGAGCCTCAAAAACCCTTTCAGTAGCACCATCTAGTAAATTCTTTAAGACGACACGTGCCTTCTCATCCAACTGCAACAACAAAAAAACAAAAACCCAATGAACATAGCTACAGGACCTCAAGCATAAAAAAGGCATTAGCTTTGCTACTGATATATATATGTATGATTGACTATTCCCAAAAATCGGGTAGCAAAAGGACAGTTTAGAGGAGAAGAACCTACTTTTTTTTTTTTGATCAGCAAAGAAAATTTTCATTAACAGCATGAAATTAAAGGTACAGGAAGATGGCATGCATCGAGACAGATTCGGAAAGTACAAGATACCCCTACTACTGCTACTCGCATCCATACAACCAACCCCTTGGCCTCACAATTTTTTTTAAATAAAAAAGTTAAGAAGAGCTTAACTAAAAAAAAATAAAAAAATAAAAATAAAAATTACATGAAACCCCACCAAATTAACCCACAAAACCAAAAGTCAAAACCAAAACCCAACTCCCAAACCAACGCCCACCTGCTAATTTTAAAACCAAACTTTTCACCTATGCTGTTCCAACTTCCAACGCCCACCAGCTACACTCCTACGCCTGACCCACGCCTGCTGCATGCCTGCTACACGCCAAGACCCACGCCTGCTCCTGCCAAGGCCCACGCCTGCTGCACGCCAAGACCCACGCCAGCTCCTGCCAAGGATGTTCTCTGGCCGGAAAACTCCATAGCCTATGGCCGGAAAAACTCCATAGATTGCTGCACAACACTTGCCCGACAACTCCAAAAATCTCCCCTGACCGAAAACTATGGCCGGAACACACCATTGGCCCTACACCTCCAACCATTGGATTTCCAAACCCACCTCTGCCACTTTATCTGCAAGCTCACCCACGCCACTTTAACTGCAAGCTCCCTTGTGCCGCCTCCTCCCTTCAAACACTCCTACTATTATAGTCAAACACACCCGCTACAAAAACTCGGCAGATGATGATCCGAATACCGATCAACCGCTGAGACACCTCCATAACCGGGACGAGGTTCACCCCTCAAACTCCCACTCGAAGAGGAGCGCTCGAATAGAGACCAGGCAGATCTGGAACGACTATGACACTCATATTTCCCCCCAAACAAAGCATCAATACTACTCCATAAATCTGAACCATAGTTCTTCCCTCAAGCTCCTACTCGCGAAAGAGCGCACGAATGAAGATCCTCACCAAATTTGGACGTCCTCCAGCTGATCCAACACCAACCTCCTCCTCTATAAGGACCCATGTTCCAGGCAATCCCTGAAGAAATACAACTACAGCAGCGAAACATCTATGGTGGGCACCGAAACACCAAAAAAAACCGCAGCCCACAAAGCAAACCAAGGTGGGAAAAAAATGGGGGGATCAAGTTTATTAAAGGGAAACTAACAAACAAACACAAGGACTGGGCCAGCCAACCGCAATAGCCGAAGGCGGCGGCCGACCGGCCCAAAATGAGGCCCGGGGAGGAGGTTTTCAGAGAGAGAAAGAGGAGGTTTTCAAAAAAAAATATAATATGGAGAAGAACCTACTTGTAATCGCATACTAGATTAATATTAAAAAACCATTAGATCACTAAGTATTTCAAACAAAACATCCAAAATGCTAGTTGATAATGAACTCCAAGGCTCACCTTCACCCCCTAAATAGCCTAAAAGATGGATATAAAGCTACATGTAATTTCAACTACTGGCAAGCAGATGGATGGTGCTCAACAAATTATAAAGTAAAAGAAACTACATGACATGATAAGCAACCTTTTGAGAGGCAAATCTAAACATGAAGTTTTCTATCCTCTAATGATCCATGATAAGAGAAAAAATACTAAAGGCATAAGGATCACGACCAATTAAATCATTAAAATATTAAAAATAATAAAAAAATAAACATTTATCTAATACAATAAAATTAAAAAACGGGTACAAATAAAAAGGAGGTAAAATGTATAGCACATTGTAGAACCTAGACAAAATGCATCAAGTTATTCATGGTGCAATACGTTCATGCATGCATACATGTGTGTGTCTGCATGGTTTTACCAAAATCAAGGGCATTGCTTGGTGCAATGGGACTTCCTTTGATAACACAGGTGAAAACACAGGTTCAAGTTTGAGAATAACCACTTTGTGCAAATAGTGCCAAGGTTTAGATCTATCTCTGGTCTTGCATCTCTCAGACCCTCAATTAATATTGACCAACAATACATAATGTCCTTGTTATGTCATTTTAGGTTTGCAAACCTAAAATGAGTTGCAAGAAAAATCTTTAAGCCAGAGTAAACACAGAGCATACTTAGAATTAGAAGCCTCTAGTCATGATGAGTTGAAGCTATTTGCCTCAAGCCTTGCATCAGGGCCATCTATACTTGATGGCAACTAAACACAGAGCATACTTAGAATCAGAAGGAATTCACATCTGCAACCAAAATTCTTGCCTTTGACTCAGTCATTCTAGGGATTTCTTCCATAGTGCAAAGAAGTAATTCACAATATGTACGAGAAGGTTAGGGGCAACAATATTCTCTAGATTTCCATATGTCGAAGGAATATGATCACTTGGATCTATTTATCAAAAACAAAACAAAAAAATCACTTGGATCCAATTTTTGATATGAGACTTGGAATAAGTTTGGTCTCTATGGATTATGAATTGATTACAAATTGTTTTGTTTTATTGTAATTTATGAGCTGATGATGATTGAAATAAATTGTTGGTTTTCCATTTGCATTAACAGTGAGAAAGTTGGTTTCTTTACTTTTCCCCAATGCTCAAGCTTAATTATTTTTTCCTTACCGCTTAATTGTAGTTTGAGAAATATCTTCAATAATAAAATTTTCACACCTATGGGCACCTCTAGAATTCCACCTGCTCTTAGCCAAATACCAGCTATTTTACGGAGTGGGTGCATTTGTCTAATTTTCTTGAAATTCGAAAAAATCAAACCTGATCTCCAGGTCAGCAAATTGACAAAAAACAAGCTGCTTCATTCTGTAAGGCAAATCTTGTAGACCTGAGATTTGTGTCTATATGTCGGATCACTAGTTTCCAGCATGGAGATATTCAATTCCGGGAAAAGCCAAGCCAAAACTTATTTCCAGTGGTGGTGCAGATGTCTTAATTGATGACAATTTTTCAAATACCTCTGCTGTCATACTTTATCAGTAATTATACCTCTACTTGCATGATCACATGATTCTAAGTGTTGGCAAACTTTTGGGTCACAAATGATGGAAGAAAAAAAACTCATAAGGTGAAAGGGACAAATCTGGGAATTCCTAACCTGTCTTTAAATGAGCTCACTTGTCTACTTCCAAGCTTGTGCTTCAAAACTACAATAATATTTATGTGCAAAAGCTACTTTTCAAATATTATGTTTTGAGGAAGCATTTTTGTGAGATTGAGCCACCAAATATTAGTCCAGGAGTTTGAAGTGGACTCTTAACTGTTAACTCCTATCCTTTTGTGTTTGTCATGGAATCTGTTAAGAGAGTGTAATAAGTGTTTCTGGTTGCTCCTCTTTGCTTGTTGGAAAAAATGAATTTGACATGTTATGAAAATTGTAATAAGAGTATGGCATTCTAGATGGAAATGGAACATGGAATTTTGGTAATCTGGAGGATGCTTCATATCATAATTTCATAAAAGTTGCTAATTCTTATATAATCACAATAATAAGATCTAAAAAGATTATTATGAGTTTTATGTGGATAGTTCCCATGGTAGTGTCCCAGTTGCTTTGGGCTCAAACTGAAGTTTTGCATGGTTGCGCTCCAGTTGATTTTGTGATAAAACAAAAGGCTATTAGAGTAAACATCTCTCAACTTGTTCTTCGGATTGCAAAACCATCGCCTTATAATATTTCTCAAAAACTGGTGGAGTAATTTGAATCAATTTAGTTTATCTGTGAAAGCCCCTCCTAGCTTCAATTACTCGACAAATTTGGCTTTAGATTACAGACGAATTTTCTAATAGAGAACATTGTCAAAAGAAAACTTCAAATTTTGGTTCAGATAATTGGCCCCTGGTTGTTCTATTTCCATCAAAAAGGAAATAGTAGCTTTTCCAAAAAAAAAAAAAAAAAAAAAAAACATCAACTTGAAACTCTCTGCCCCCATAATTTGAAACAACGATGGTCCACATGATCATCCTGAAGGTATCACACAGAGAGATAAAAAGGGGTGAAAGGTTTTTTTTCATTTTCTGAGGCATAAAGCATCACACAAGCTTTCCAGTTGAGATTCAAGCAGTTTTTAGGGAGCTTCTCAACTTCACTATGAGTTTAGATTCTTGAATTTTTTATTTTTTTTTAAAAAAATGGAAGTCTTTCTGTTGTCCTCTATCACTTCCCTGGCATAACATTAAGTGTCTCTAAAATATGATCAATACTGCTTGAAAGGGTAATTTTTGGTGAAAATTGGGCCGAGCTGTGAGATGGACTTTGTGGCCCAAAATACAAAGGACTGTGTAAAAAGGCCGTAATGTTACTTCGGCCCAAGAAAGGTAAAATTACTCCGGCCCAAGAGATAAAGTTACTTCGGTCCAAGATGATGAAAAGTTACTCCGGTCCGGAGGCAACTTGGAGTTAGGCCGGTCTCAGAGTTAGTCCGGTCACTACGTAGTATGGTTAGAATGAACAGTTGAACTGGAAA